TAGTGGCTGTAGTCCTTTCTAACTGGAATAATTTTAATTTCTTCCTTCCAAGAATATTAATTATATTTTTGCCAAATATGGCAAATAATTAGTCTTGACTAAATCTTCATTGCTTCTTGTCAAGAAAATCCCTTAAAGTTTTTATCAGTGTTAAATCTGGTTATTTGTCATGTACATTGTTTTTCTTTTTTTGTCCAATTCCATATAAACAATTGAGTTTTCTTTTTATTGATCCAATAACCTGACACAAAACGTATTGTTTAAAATATCAGCAATGTTAAAGTGTTTCTATGCTGAGCAATTGTAAGAACAATATCAACACTATGTGTTTTTGTGTAATTAGTTTAATTCGCAATATTCTATTGTCTTGGTAAGTTGAATTACCAGTGGTTCTAATACAAGTGAAAATGAAGGAAGAGAAAATTCTTGTCTTATTGTAATTTAATTTAGCACAGCTTTGACTTTAATTCTTTGAGGCTCAGCTTCTTTACCATTCATATTTCAGAAACTGGGTAATTAAGGATAATTTATCTTTCCTTTGTCATTTGTCAGAAGTAGTCAGTTTTAATAGATGTGAACTTGAAAAAAGTACAAGACCTGTTTCCAATTGATTTTCAAACATTTATGTTATATATAATATAAAAATGGGTAATTTCTAATGCATTATCATCAGATAAAGAGTGATCACTTTAATGTAAAAAATATAAAGTTTTAGGATGCCATCTGGGAATAGCACATTTTAAATATTCTGCTTCTTCTTCTTTCTAATTAGAGGGACAGTGAATTTCTGAAATCAGTGTTTGTCCTGGTGTACCATGACACCGTCTATCCGCTTCTTCAGTCTGTGTCACTTCCAGAGTACAAGTGGGCAGAAGAAGAATCTGAAGGTACTCGCTGGCGAATAATAGCTGAATTCCTAAAGAAAAATCGAGAAAAAGGGGGCAGTCTACCTTCTCTACTATCATTGGAAAGCCCTCACAAAGCTTTCGATGTCATGGAAACTGCATATGATTTTTTAGGAGAGGCTAGAAAAAATAGTCCTCTAATATGAAAGACATTTGTGGCTATTCATCTACCAATTGCCAAACCAACACGAACTAATTAAATAGAACTGATAATGTGTTCCAAAATGTTGTATTTTTATCATTTGACTAAAACTTTTATACCAAATTTATAAATGCAATGTATTGATAAACTTAAAAAAAAACAACTATCATGTTGGTTATTGATTTGTATATTTATGAAGAAAGTAAATGCATACTAAAGATAATTTATTGTGTTTTTATCTTTTTTCATTCAAATATTTTCCTGTTTCCTTTATACTTCTTTACATTAAGCAAATTTCATTTGAGAAATGCTGGTATCTAAACAATTAACTAACACTGAATGTGAGACAAATAAGTAATGTCAGAAATTATAGTAAATCTTAAGAATCATCTTAAATAAGTATGAGAGTTGAATCTGTTACAGACATTGCTCTAAACCAGGGGTGTCAAACTCATGTCATCATGGCAGTGTCACGTGACCTATTGGGACTTTTTTCCTCCTCGCTAAATCGGGTGTGGGCATGGCCAACGCATGATACACTTGGTCTGCAGGCTGCGAGTTTGACAGCCCTGCTCTAAACATATATGAACTGAACATGCCTTGATGTTTATAAATGGATGTAACTGAAGAAGATGATGTTTAATCACTGGCAAAATCTGAAAAATGCAAGAGTGTAACATTTTATTAATATTACCCTTTTGGAATATTAAGAATAGATATAAAGGTATCTATTGTAAAAGAAATGGCAATTTATCCTAAAATTTGAATTATTTAGGTATGCATGCCAGATTCAGAGCTTTGTCAGATCCATATTGTGCTGCTATCCTGAATAATGAGCCAAAGGTAATTTGTTGCCATAGTTGCCAGCATGTGACTGAAAATTCTCTGGGGATTTGATCAAAAGATCTACAATTCCATAATTGATACAGATAGTTCTAAATTAACGTCTGCCTCATATAGCCACCACTACAATAATAATGAAAAAGTAACTTTGTGGCCAATTCTTGTATTTATGACCTTTATATATACCGTATATGTAAAGCAAAGGAAAACTGAAGTAAGATAAGCACAGTTTCCCATAGCGACTGCTTTAATGACCAATTTGCCATACCAATTATGGCTGTAAACAAGAACGACCTCTATTTCCGTTGCTTTTTGCTTGGTAGGATGGAAGTAGACTTGACTGATATCTATGTTGCTAAGTTAGTACTTCAGGGGCTTATCAACATCTTTTGTTTTTTCAGTGTTGCCAGGCGTTTTATTATTCCAGAATGATAAGGAAAGATACTAGTGTAGCCTTTTGAGAATGGAATGAGACTGGTTTGCGTGGGGTAGCGTGGGGGTGGGGGTGGGGAAGGGAATTTGTTCTGTCTGAGGGGCGGGGGTGAGCATGCCCAGCTCCATTTGTGCAAGTGATACTGTGAGTGTAAGCGTCCGCCACTTGTGCAGCCCAGTTCTGAATGGGATGTGGCCTGGTAGTAGGCTGTGGCCTAGGGGTTGGGGACCCTTGGTGTAGAGGAGAGAGGGAGAAATCACTTCATTTTCATTACCTATAAATTACTTCTTTCAGAAACTCGCCTCTGGATTTTGCCCTGATCTCCAGGTAATTGCCTTTCTTAATTTGCATAATGATCCCGAGGCAGAAATATAGTTGTAGAGAAGAAACTGGTTCAACAAGACTAGCTAGAAGTACTCATATTTTTGGAGATGTTCCCAATCAATTAACAGCAAGACAATGGAATCAGTTCAACCAAACATGTCAGTGCTGCTCTTAAAATAGTTAGGAAATAAGTTACTGTTAAATTTAATAGGCTTAAATTCCTTCCCTCAAACTACAAAGTTAAAATATGTATATAATCAAACATACTTTAGGCTAAGCACTTCACTGTATATTTATCTTCCTCTCAGAGCAGGAACGTGTAGAAAATGAGCAGGTAGGTTTACAGTATTTCTTGGAGGTACATGCTTTTTTCTCTATATGGGTGTATCTATAGATGTTTATTGAAGGGAAGCATACTTTTTTAATGCATTAATGACAAACATCTATTCTGGGTGTATCTTTGTATATGGAAAATCAGTGGCTTGTAAACAGTTACATCAAAGTAGATTTATAGAGTGTTTACATCTGATGAGTATAAATGAAGGACACCTGCTCATTAATACAAGTGAGGTACTAATACCACTCTATAAAGCCTTAGTAAGACCACACCTAGAGTACTGCATCCAGTTTTGTTCACCACATTATAAAAAAGATGTTGAGACTCTAGAAAAAGTACAGAGAAGAGCAACCAGGATGATTAGGGGACTGGAGACTAAAACATACAATGAACAGTTGCAGGAACTGGGCTTGGCTAGTCTAGTAAAGAGAAGGACCAGGGGAGACATGATAGCGGTCTTCCAATATTTGAGGGGCTGCCACAGAGAAGAAGGGGTCAAGCTATTTTCTAAAGCGCCTGTAGGCCAGACAAGGAATAATGGATGGAAACTGAACAAAGAGAGATTTAACCTGGAAATAAGGAGAAACTTTCTGACAGTGAGAACAATCAACCAATGGAACAGCTTGCCCTCGGAAGTTGTGGGAGCGCCATCAGTTGAGACTTTCAAGAAGAGATTGGACTGCCATTTGTCAGAAATGATGTAGGGTCTCCTGCTTGGGTGGGGGGTTAGACTAGATGACCTACAAGGTCCCTTCCAACTGATTATCTGTTAAATCTGTATTTCAAACATTTATACTATTCTCAAAAAAACAGAAGAATGGTACCTGAACTAATGTGCTCCAGCCAATAAACCAAACCTCATAGCAATCCTCGTTTAAAGAACATAAACCTTCATAATTAAAATGTTGAGAATAATTTAGTACACAGTTATTAGGCTTTTACTATGAACTATCCCAAGGAGAAAACACTCAGAAAAATGAAAGAATGTGCTGAAACAAAATAAGGTAAACTGTTTAACTTCTTGGCATGGGATTCAATTTCATTTGCACTGGAGTTAAAAACAAGCTTTTGATCAGCAATATGAGGACAGTAACTAGGGGAGAAAACAACCAAGTCTCTGTTACCAAAGTACTATGGTTCAGTAACCAGTTCAGTGATTATTTACCCACCTGTAGAAAGTTAGCACCCACCCCTCTCCTGAAGAATGAAATATTTTGAGAAAGATTAAAAAAGGCAGAATATTATATTTCCCTGGATGAGAAATGGAGAAACATGTTTTTTTTTAAGCGGCCCTCTTAATAACGCTCAGCAGGTGTCAGCACTTAAGAGATAAAGAGCTTATTGAAAGAAGCCAAGTATCTAGATAGCTCAATTATTCATAGGCAAAAATTCCCTGCAGCAAGGTCTGAACAAAGGTAGGATTAGCCCACAGCCACAATAGGAATTGTGGAAAAAATTAAGGAAATTAAGGAAAATTAAGGAAAAAATGAGCTCAATATTAGGAGTAACTTCCTAAAATAAAAAACACAACTTGCTCCATTGGAGATTTTAAAATAGAGACTCACTTGGATAGTCAGTTTTGGGGGGATGATTTACCAAATTCTTCCATTTAGGTTGGAGTAGAACAATGTTTCTCAACCTTGGAAACCGGTGGCTGGGGAACTCTGGGAGTTGAAGTCTAAAGGTGCCAAGATTGAGTGACACCGGACTAGAGGATATGTAAGATTTCCCAGTTGCAATGCTTCAGAATGGAACCAAAGGAGAACTTGAGCCTCAAAATAGAACACTTTTAGAAAGAGTCAGAATCTGTAACTTCATCTCCTTCTGATACCAAAGGATATTTAACCACACACAAATATATCCACATTGATACTTGACCTCTGATCTCTTATGGATGAGCTACCTTAGTCTTGGTGGTGTATGAAATTCTTCCACGATGACTACAGCTACCTGCCAGGCTGGAACTGATTTCACCTTTGACGTCTGTATGGGTGTGCCACTAGATACTATTTTAAGCTTCGCATGCCAACAGTTCTGCAGCAGAAGTAATTGTGGATAGAAGATCGTAACAACAGTGACATAGAGACAATAGAAATGGATCCCAAAACTTCAGGACCAGCGCCTAGCTGCCCAGCACTTGAAGATATTCCTTCAGGACTGGCCATTTTTAAAACGATACCATATGCCTTAATCTTGCCAGAGCTGGTAAGTCAATTAACTTAATTTTGTTGTAATTTTTGAAATCCTTATCTCCAATTTAACATTGAGCAGTTTTGCACATCATGTAGTGTATAGAGTCATAATGATGACTCCTGGTACTAGTTACTTGTATGATATATGCAGATTTGTGCACATATGTTTTTATACTAATTATGCTCATAGTTAATGAAAGGTTTATTTGAAGATTGGTAAACTTTCCATACTGCATTTTATGAATCAAGAATTGCATATTTTGATCTGCTGTGCATCAAAGCATATGCCATATATCTGCTTCCCATTGCTCTTAAAATGTGCACTTTAATTATTTAAAGGAGTTGAAGCATCTATCCACAGTTAGCATACTAACTGCACAAAGTTATATCTTTGCGTTAATCTAAAGTACATGTAGTCCTTGACTTATAACCATAATGGGAACCATATTTTCTATTGCTAAGCAAGATGTGTATTAAGTTGCACCTGATTCTCTGACCTTTTGGCCATGGTTGTTAAGGGAATCATGCAGTTGATAAATGAATCAAACTTTCTCCATTAACTTTGCTTGTTGGAAGCTAGCTGGGAATGTCATAAATGGTGCTCATAAGACCCCAGGATGCTGCAGTTATCGTAACTGCATGTTGGTTGTCAAGCACGTAAACTTTGATCACATGACTGTAGGGATGCAGTGATTATCATAAGCGAGAGGACTTACAGATATGAGGACATAAGTATAAATTTATAGACTTCTTTATATATTCATATATGTAAAGTATATAATACCCTAACTATGAAGCTGATCATATGATAGTGGTTTGGGTGTATGTCACTCTTTTTTCCTAATTTTCAGAAAACTCTAGCTGGAAACTATTTCAGCAAAGGAATGATTAGCTTGGAGATATTAATATTGCATTACAGTATTCAATCTGGTTTTCCTCCACCCTCCCTAATTATTCTCAGATTATTCAGGTTGACTGCTGCAAAGTTGAGTAAGATATTGTGTTCATACAGGACTTGCTCTCTGAAGATATGGGTCAATATTTTTCAAACAGTGAAGTGTGGAGACAATAATCCCAAAGGCATTGGTTTACAGGCTAGGTGTAGCTAGGCATGCGATTTCTTGGAAAAAGATTGATTCAACTAAAAGTGCTTCTCGGGGGAGAAAGAGGAGAGCGGATTAATTCAGGGACAACAGCAAGAAGGTCTATATAGCAACTTAGAATATTCAGTAATTTATTAATTAATTCAAGAGTTCATTAAAAAAAATACCAAATAATAGCATGCCTAAAGAAGAGAGATGGAAGCATTGCCACTTTCAGTGTAGTTCATTAAACCAGACTTTGTATAGGGCTGAGGGGAAGCAAAAAGAGGAAGAGAGAGGAATAGGACTTTCTGCCCTTTCACCCATTCCTACTCCTAGTAAGTTTCTAGATTTGAGCCACAAAAAAATAATTATATTGTACTATGTCAATCTCATCAAGGTTTGGGTAACAAAGATGCAGAACTGTTATCTCTTGAAGATTCAGCTGGTATCTTGGATTTCATATATTCAGTGGGGGAACAAACCCTAATAGAATGTCCTTGTTTAAATGCAGTAGAATTCAGATTGTTAAGTGCTGAGTATTGTCAGTCTTTGGAACTTGGCTTTCAGGGATTTGTCCCGTTTTTTAAAAATAGGAAATCAAAGTAACTGGTCACTATTACATAGTGCGATAATGAAATTCACTGGGAAGTAATGGCATTTCATTTTGTATTTTGCTTCACTTGGAGAACTTTCAGGAAGTTATAATTCAAGAGTTGTAAAACATGGCAGAGTGACTATGTTCCTTATGTTAATTGCATTCTCATTGTATGAGGCATAGATTTTAACTCAACTGGAGTTTTGTGTGTGTGTGTGCGTGTGCGCGTGTGCGTGCATGTAGTGCTCGTATAATTTTTATTTATATGAAAACTATTCAGCAAAAATTGTGTAAATAGTAAGGAAGATTACCTTGATGGAGATATGAATCTCGGTTGCCAAGGCAACCAGCCGTAAAATATATTTTAAGTCCAAACTACCCATATAACATTTGGAACATTTGGTGGGTTTCAAAGAGGTTTACCACTGGTTTGGTGGCCGTGGCTTGGTGGGCACACAGACACTTTGCACATGCGCACATGCCAAATGCACACTTTGCGCAAGCGCAGAGGCTTTCCTACTCACCTCCTGCAATCCCTGTAGCTTCAACAGCTGACTCATAGCAATTTGCTGTGCTGCGCAAAGCAGCTGTGCTTCAAAAGCTGGGAATAAAGGTCAGTATGGGTCGGGTGGGCCCAACAGCAGCTCGACAGACAGAACCAGTTCGGTCTCAGCTGATCTTTGGCACTATCAGTACACCAGGACTGGGCCGAACTGATAGACCAGCACCACTGGCACAGAAAGATACCTTCCTAATTCACTGAAGTATAAAAGTGAGGATCATACACTGAAACCAGACTTGAAGATTCTGTTATCATGGTGAATCTTATAAAAGCAGTTTTAGCCTTCTTGTGGGGTTGATTTTTTTTTGTCTAGTCTACTTAATTGGGCTGAGGGCTTAGAATAAAGATTGAAGCAAGCAAGAAACCAACAACATGTTAAATAATGCCTTATTTGCAATATTGTTCCAGAAGCCATTACTGAATGTGGGCAATGCATCTTCAAATCCATGGTGGCATAGGAGAACCCAATGAATATAACAGTGATTGCAATCAGGCATAAAAAATGGGCAGCTCAGTGGAAGAGGGTTTCTATTTTTCACAATCACTGACAGTTTTCATGAGAGAGCAACATGGAAGGCTGGTGAATTGATTTAAATGACAGGCTTATGGGAAGAGATTGATTTAAATTGCATAATTGCATAATTCTGCATGATACATATATTTTTAAAAATGTAGTTCTTTGAGTGTTGGGGCAAGGAAGGCTATTCATGAAGGACACCATGACAAATATGGCTGCTTATGTGGGAATCAAAGTTAGGATGAAATACAGGAACATGCCTTTTGATTTTCTTTACTCCAAATCTTTTTTTATTTCTTCCTGTCCCTTAAAATATTCAAGTACATCTGGATCCCAGATGTTTCTTTACTTTTTTGTGTGTATGGCCAGAAGCAACTCAGATGATGTCACCAGAGCAGCAATATTCTGCACTCAAAACTATTTGCAGCTCAATGAAGACAGATTTTTTTCTCTTAATTGAATTTTTATCCTACCTTTCTTCTAGGAGCTCAAGGCTATGTACACTGATTTACTCTAACAACTCTGGGAAGTAAAATTGGCTTTAGAAAAATGACTGGTACAAAGTGTAGTACTATAGCTAAGCATAGACTGAAACCTGCACCTGGCTGGTTCAGTTTATAATGTAGTTTTGTACAATATAGTATTTGTGTATGTGAATATTTTACCAGCTATTTTGGGGGGGAGAATGCATAGAAACCACAATTATAATATTTGCAACTGTACTTCCCATGCAAAGAACTTGCAGTTTACAAACAACAAAACAACATAGACAGATAATACAGTTTGGCTTTATGGCTTTATATAAAATAATATGAGGAAGTTTCATTTTGAATGCTTTTAATTTTCAGTGCATATTCCTACACTTTCCATCTTGAAGAACCTGTTTGATAATTTCTCAGCAAGGGGGAGCATTAACTTTCTTGACAGTGATCCTTGCTCACTGGCATTCAGTGGGTGTGTGCCTGTTGCTGGGTAATCAAAAGAGTTCAACATCTTCAGGTGGAGTTTTTGTTTTTCTTTCTTTCTTGGAAATGAAGTGGGAGGGCTGGGTACTTCTGGAAATACCTTTACAAAGTATGCTGAAAAAGGTATGCACAAACCTGACACCCAAAGAGAATTGCAGGGCCATTATGTTCTTTGGAATTAATGACCCTTAAAGTACACAATCTGTTCATATCCTTCAAATGTAATCACAGGTGTTTTTCCTTGTCTGATGCATAATCTTTTCTCTGAACAATGACTAGTTTTATACATACAATATTTCAGGAAGTCCCATTTAAGGATCTCTGTTTGATTCTAAGTTGATGTTTTGTGCAAAACAGATCAGAATCAGATATCAAATTACTGCTCCTATTCAACACAAAATTTTGCTTATACTGACTTCTTCAAGATTTCAAGCAAGGTTTTTCTTCTTTCTATACTTACAGATGCCAGTGACAGGACTTGGGACATTATCAATACCAGGAATCTGTTTTATTAGGATCTAGTATTAGGGAGACAACTGTATTTGCATTAATTCCATTATAAATATAGTTTTTCTTCAGATCTCCTCTTGGAATTGGGGAAGATTGGATCAAACACAGGTCACATCTACCTGTGTTACCCCCAAAATAAGACCAGATCTTATTTTCTTTTGAGGCCCAAAATAAGCACCAGGACTTATGGGGGGAGGGGTGTCTTATTTTTTTCCATATATGGGACACACTTCTGCTTGCTTGCGGCTGGCAGGAGGTCATGCGGTGCACTGGTGCCACTGCTGTGAGGCCAGAAAGGATGGAGCTGCCCCATGTGCTGCACACTGGTTTATCTCTGGCCCCGCAGCCAGGCCACCCATGCCCTGACACCTTCCCCCACCTCACGGTGGTGGCTCCAGCAGCCCTATCGCCCCCAATGTGGCCACTGGCCCACTTCTTCTACTTGCTCATGGCTGCATAGAGCAGGAGGCCGAGTGACATCTCTGGTGCCACAGTCACGAGACAAGGGAGGTATTGGGCATGGGTAGCCTGACTGCAGGGGCCCTGAGGTAAGCTGGTTTGGGGTGCGTGGGGCAGCTGCATCCTCCACCTTGCCTCATGGCCATGGCACTGTGAACAACCAGATGGAATGGGTGGGTGGTCAACTGTGCAGGCTCTTAAGTAGGGTTTATTTGGGGGGCAGGATTTATATTAGTGCACACTTAAAAACATGCTAAGGCTTATTTTGGGCACAGGTCTTATTTTTGGGAAACTATTTATGTCCTGTTCTACAATCAATT